CTCTTAACGCCACCAGCGCGCGATCGTGTTCTGACGTTGTTCCACGTCACTCGCCTGAAACGATATTACTCAGACCAACCAGGCACCGAGACGGTGCCTTCGCCGCCGGGGGTGATGCTACGGGGCGCCACAAATGAACATTGTAGAAAAGAGGACGATGTTTAGGGCGAGCTCGTGCAGACCGGGCTCCATATTGTATGCCTGCCTGTTTACCGAAAGTAAAGGCATTTTTCAGACGCCTTCTCCCGTAACAATATATATATATATATATATATATATATATATATATATATATATATATATATATATATATATATAAGAGAGAGAGAGAGAGAGAGAGAGAGATGAGAGGAGAGAGAGAGAGACGCAGGGACAGGGAGCGACGGCAGTAAAGAGACAATAGGAAAGATGAACACGGTCCCAGGAGTCCGAAGACAGGGCTACGCTGTCTCGTCGGGGACCGGCCCGTACAGGGGACCGGCGGTCAGGGAACGTCCGAGGAGGCGTAGAACCAACCCAGTCGGCCAGAGCTGCACTGTCGTCGGAGATCGCGAGGGCACAACCGGTCGGCCCGGAATCCAGCGAGCGAGCCTTTGGCTCTTTTAAACGCCACACGTGTGTGGGCCCTTATGTATACGCAAGCAACTGCAGGGGCCACATGAACAGAAATAGACAATGACGCGTTTGTGACTGGGCGTTGCGCATGTCTTCGACATTTTAGTGAGCGACAACCCTATGCGCGGTGGCACCTGCAACTGTCACGGGACCATCAAACACCTCGTGCAGTGTCGGGAAGCGGCGGAGGTGCGAAAGAGGACGAACCTGTGGTTCGCCCTTGTTTCTAACGGCCTCAAAACTGTGAGACGCGATGGCATTTCATACGCGGCGATGGTCTCTGATATATAATACCAAAACTTTCCCTTATATTTAGCGCAGAATTTTGTGTTTTATGCAGATCGTCATGAGCCTTCGACAGCGCATGGGCCTTCGACAGCCGCATTGTTGCTGTGATGGCACTACTTCGTCTATTGTATTAAATGACCACATTTATTATTATATTATTATTATTATTATTATTATTGTTGTGTTGTTGTTGTTGTTGCTGTTGTTGTTGTTGTTGTTGTTGTTGTTGTTGTTGTTGTTGTTGTTGTTGTTGTTGTTGTTGTTGTTGTTGTTGTTGTGACAGTGACAGCGCATTACCATCTCAGAGCTAGACCTCACCCTCGAAGGAAACCTGGATCCCCACCTGTTCCCGGTAATTGAAATGCCAAAAAAAAATTCATCTTTCGGTAATTTTCTGCAGCCTCCCCTGAAGTACAAAGTGGCATTCCAGTTTAAATTGCCAGCCGAAATAGGGAGTAACGTTATGAAGCTAGAGATACTATAGGCACCAGGGCTTGTCTGAATGAGCGCGTCAGTGACGGCACACGGCGAGGCCCCATATCGAGGATTTTTTATTGTAGTTGTCAACAAATTAATGTGACCAGAATTGCATGTAATTATAATTGGTAGGATTTTACCTCCCAAAACCAAGACTATGATGGACGCCGTGGCGATTATGATGGACGCCGCAGCGGAGTGGTCGGAAAATTCGACCATCTGGTCGAATTTTTCGACCAGCATTTGCCCCCATCGAAATGAACCCGCCACGGCCGGGTTGTGATTATGCAGAGCACCGTAGCGGATACCAAAGCTACATCGTTTGTTGCAGTAAGACCCGAAGTAATGTAACTGCATAATTACACGAAATCGTTTACCAACAACCAGTCACCCATGTGAGTTATCGTTACCGACTAAAACACGCAGACAATCAATTACGCAACTACATCATCGTCATCAGCCTAACTATAGGACTGCAGGGCAAAGGCCTCTCCCATGTTCCGCCAAACCACCCGGTCCTGTGCTTTCTGTTGCCATGTTATACCAGCAAACTTCTTAATCTCATCTGTCCACCTAACTTTCTGTCTCCCCATCACGCGTTGGCCTTCACTTGGAATCCTGCAGTTACCCTTAATGACCAGTGGTTATCCTGCCTACGCACCATTTACCCTGCCCGTTTCTTTTTTTTTTTTTTATTTCGGCTATGATATCCCTAACACCCTCTTTTTTTTTCCCTGACCCACTCTGCTCTCTTCTTGTCTCTTAAAGTTACACCGATAATTTTCCTTTCCATCGCTTGCTGCGTCGTCCTCCGTTTAAATTGATCTCTCTTTATAAGCCTCCAGGTTTTTGGTCCGAAGGTAAGTACGAGTAAGATAAGCAGTTGTTATATACCCTCCTCTTGAGGAATAGTGACAATCTATACCATTCATGATTTGAGAATGCTTGCCGAATGTGCTCCATCCCATCCTTATTCTTCAAGTGGTTCGGCTGAGCGCTCACTACCTGTCCTAAGTAGACCTATTCCTTTACAACTTCCAGCGTCTCGCCACTTATTTCGCAAAGCGCTGTTCTCTGTCGAGACTGCTGCACCACACATTAGGTAGTTTGATGCATACTAATTTTCACACCTATCTTTATGCTTTCCGCGTCCCATGCAGTAATCGTGAGCTGTAATTTATCCTCGGAGTCACTCGTCATTGTCATCAGCTAATCGCAGATTACTAAGACACTTTCAAAATGTGTCCGTTAACTTTTATCTCTAGTTCCTTCCAATCTAGAGCGCTGAAAACCTCCTGTAGACACGTGGCGAGTGTCATTGGAGAGATCGTGTCTTCCTGCCTTTTTCATTACTGGAATTTTGTCGCTTTCTTTAAGTAGAACTATATATGGTGGCTGTGGGTCCGCTGTAGATCCCTTCCAGTACGTTTATATAGGCTTCGTCGATCTCCTGATTCCGAAGTGCCTGCATGAATGCTGATATCTCGCCCGAATCAAATGCCTTTTCGTAATCTATTAAGGCTATATGTATAGGGGTTGGTTGTATTCTGTGCATTTCTCTATCACCTGATTGATAGTATGAATGGTCTATTGTTAGTAGCCTGTACGAAATCCTGCTTGGTGTTGGTTGAATTCTAATGTCGTCTTGATTCTATTAGCAATTATTTTTGTAAATAGCTTGTAGACAACGGACAGTAAGCTCATCGGCCTGCAATTTTCCAAGTCCTCGATGTTTCATATTGATTAAGATGATGTTGGCATTCTCCGCAAGATTCTGGCACCCTCCCCATCAAGAGACACTTTGAGCAACTATATAGACGCTTGATATGGACACGACTTTGATATAGAGGCAACACTATCAAAATACGCGAATGACAACAAACAATTACTTCAATTTCCCTACGTACAAGTTTGGCCTCTAACGATATTTAGAACGCAGCGAAAAATATTGGAAATCATACCACGCATGAATAAAAAATTTGCTCGATAGAAGCTACAATATTACAAACTAAGCTCATGTAAAGGCGATAGTGATAGCGCGAGAACGGAACGATGACAAAGAGACAAGAAGGACACGAGCACTCCTTCTTGTCTCTTTGTCGTCGATCTGTTCTCGCGCTATAACTATATCGTCATGTCATACCAACTAGCCCAAACTGCCACACTTCGTGTAAAAAGGCCTCTTTCTTTTCACCTCAGCGGCCTTAACATACTTGCCTAAGTTTTGAGACATTTATTCATTTTTAACGAAACTAAAAGCGTGAGAGCTGCTACTATAGACGTCAACTGCAGGTAATTGATAAATATTTGGCTGGCGAGGGGAGGGGTTCAAGACTCGACATAGGTAGTACAAAAATAACACTAAACATCGAATGACAGTGCCCAATCACATCATTTAAATCGTTTGAAATGGTTGCGTAAGCTTTGATTATGCAGTGCGAAAAAAAAAGGAAGAAAGAAAAAGCACGTTTGACTTATTGCGTGGCCGTATGAGATGTCACAAGGCGACATGTACGGATCACCTCATTTATAAATGACTTCAAGCATAAAATGATGCGTTCTTTATTTAAGATGATTGGGCGAGCCAGATTGCCATTTCGTTAAAACCAATTTTTATCTTTATTGTTACAGCGAATATCGCATATAACAGACTGATTTGTGGTCCCTATGGTACCTCATTTTTGCGAGGTTCACTTTTATGATCACTAGAATGAGACGAAAGGCCTTCGCTATCACCGTCCCTGCGAATACCTTTTTTTATACATATTAGATTCTCTCTCTATTTTTCATCTGACTATGATAACCCCAACTTTACTGGCACTTACCCACTCAAAGGCCATTGGCATGGAATCGGGCGAATATAAATATTATTTTAGAAATCCATGGTGATTTTAGAACGTTGCAAACGGAATAGAAATAATAGTCTTATTTTAACATTTGATTAAACACTTCCGATCTCCTACGCTCAAGCACAGCTTAGGACACATGTATTAAAATATGAAAAAAAAAGGATATGAAGATTTCTAAGGAACACAAAATTTTATTGCTCCTTGTGGGGCTTTTCTCCATAAAAATATTTTAGTACGAGCGTTTTGATCCTGCTGGCAGAGCGTTCCCGCTTAGTTGTTTTTAAAGCGCACGTAAGCACAAAACCTCAACCTCCTTAGAGTAGCCCCTTTCCTTATTATTTAATTTCAAAGCTGACCTACAAAATACGATTTTCTAAATCTCTGTTAAATTTCCGGCTTCTTAACCCGTAGTGGGTAAACACCATTGCAAGAAAGAGCTAGCTAGCGATGAACTCATCGAGACCCACCAGTTTCCTGTACTGCGACATGTTTACCACTGCCAGTGAAAGGATATTACTTTGCGGCCCCGAGCAAATATAGCAGTCTCATTCGTAGCAGTCACACTTCCGCTAAATATCGGTGTTACAGCGCGACTCCCGTTAGCAGCTTCGGGACAACCGAAGACCGCCGCAGGCAATTTATAATGCGGCCAGCGCAGAGCAGTTGCTTTCGCTTCTTTCGCGCTCGGACCGCCCAGTAGTAGCGATAGTAGCGCGTAGCGCCACGCAGCGCGCGCGAGTAGCGGTCGGTCGCGCACTCATTCCGACAGGTGGCTTCAGCCGCTTTTTTTCGGGGACGGCTGACAACAGTCAACAAGCTCGTGCCTGCTCGTGCAGCGGCGGACTCTCGGCGCGTGAACAGGGGAGCTCGCGACCCGCCGGGCGGAAGCCATGAGCGGGGGTTCGCTGCTTCTCCTTGCAAGGGGCCGGACGGAAGCGCAGTCGGAAATGTACGGGTGCCAGGAAGCGGCCATGCCGGACTGGAAGCGGGAGCTACTGCGCAAGAAGCGCACCATGCACAAGGCATTCCCCAGCTGGGCGGCGCTCGCGGCCGGCTCTGGTGGCGACCGGACCGTTCACAAGGCTGTTCACCTTGGCGACGCGGCGCGCGTTCCGGCCGGACTGGTTTGCCCGCAGTCGCCCCGCGGAGGTGGCCCCCCGAGCATGGGCGAAGACAAAGGCGGCCAGGCCGAACTGGAAAGTTCGGAAGACCACGAGTGGCAGTACGGTCCAGGCTTCGTCGACAGGCTGCGATGCAAGTTCCTCAGCTTGAGCTTACGCGAGCCCAGTGGCCTGCAGCAGCCGCTGCGAGCTTACGCCAGCGTGGAAAACCTGTTGGAACCGAAATCGAGCGTCCGGCCTACGTCGGCACCCAAGCCAGCATTTCAGCGGGCCCGTAGTATGGAAACCTTGTTAGATCCACTCATCAACGAGGACGTTGTAATCGTGGAGCGGAGTTCGACCACAGCGAGTGAGTTGCCCCGGCCAGATATTGTCCGTACTTGCAAACGCATTTTTGAGGCCTCGGCTGACAACCGCCGGCCGCTGCGGCGGCGGCCACCAGTGTTGCGTGCTCGCGCCCCCCTGCGTGCCGACAAGGAGAACAACCAGCCTCTGGCCAGACCGCGACCTGCTAGGCCCGTAGCCAACATCAAGCCTTTGCGGAAGCAGGACGAGACGCCCCCGGTGAAGGAAGACGAGCCGCCGCTGAAAGCCCCAGTTGCCCCGGTCGCCCCAGTCGCTGTTGCTCGTCCCGAACGCCGAGACACTACGCCCCTGTGGCCGCAGCTCCGGCAGACTTCACCGGCGGCTACCAGTGTGGTGTTTGACTTCCGGGGCAAGGATGTAAAGCCGCACGTGGCAGTGACCCGGGCACCCTGCGGCAGTCCGCTGGACTCTGACGAGCTGGACTCGTCTGATGAGCCGCTTCCATTCCCGTCCGGCATCGTGTTCGTTGGAGAGAACGTCGTGATTGGCGGCGGCGCCCTGCTCACCACCAGGAACAAGAAGGTAGGCCGCTGACCCCTCCAGGCCACGGCCCCCTCCCCCCCCTTTTTTTTTACTTGGTACACGACTCGCGCGGTGCTTGCACCACGGGTGTCAGACCCAAGAGCCGTCTGACCGCTTTTGTGTGTTCTCGCCTGTGTGCAAAGCACCGCCCGTGTTTCTTTAATGGTCGCAGTTATTATTCTCGACATATTCAATTCAATCGTGATGGAAATTAACTTGATGCTCCGAGGCCCGTGCACTCAGATTTGCAAGCAAGTTTAAGAACACCAGATAGTCCAAATTTCCGGAGCCTTCCACTACAGCGCCTATCATAATCACATGATGCTTTTGGGACAATAAACTTAACTTGCTCATCACTATCAAATGGAAAATGGCCTCAATACTTGGCATGGTTTTGCCAATGTATACCACATAAGAAATTAGTTGAAGCCAGTGGTGTACCAACTATGCTAGTGGGAGGGGGGGGGGGGGCAGGGCTAACTTACCACACTCGTCAGTATATATATATATATATATATATATATATATATATATATATATATATATATAAATGTATGGGAGACAACTTTTTGACGCACTATCATGCGATTTTTCATATTTCATACATACAGCACTTTGATAGCGTAAAATAGAACAGTCGGTTTTAACTCTTTCGTTACGACGCCTATTCAAATCGATCACCGATTTTCGCATGTTACATTTGTTTATCGCGCACCCAGCACTTTCTAAACAAAGGCGTACCCTTCGTGATTGTTACAGAAACATCGAAGTTGTGTAATGAAAAGAACCTTTGCAAGCCAAATATTGAATTAAAGTGTCAGCTTTGCAATTTGACTAGGTTGAGCAGTAATAATTGCCCAAAATTTTTGCCAGATATTCAGTAAAAAGCTGTTCCCAGGAGCTGGAGGGAAAATTTGTTCTACAAAAAGTATTTATGAAGGTCCACCGCGCATATAGTGTCAAGGTGGCCTTCTCTGACAGTTTCCAGCAGCTTTGGTTTTGCTTGCACTGTTATATCAGATGCAAGGCCGCATCTAGTGTCACTAGTCACTCCTATGACATTGTTGTCACGCACGCATGGGTGCGCACCAGCGCTGCAAAAAACATGCATTGCTCGAAACTGTCTTGCAACCCCACGTGAATTGAGTATGAGCTTAGAGTTCGAGGATGACAGCACCTCAGCTTCAAATTTTGTGGAGACGATGCTTTGTGCCAGCCCGAGACATCCACATCCTTTCATGGGTTTTTGTTTACGGCCTCAAGTTGTCTATTCGACTGCAAGTGTGTAGCTGCTGAGCCTTGTGCACAATCTCATAGCTACTCTGGTTAAGTGCGTGCTCCATACTTCGCTGGGGCGCAGTGTGCTGGCGCTGGCTGCAGAGCTTCTTCTAACGGCAAGAAGGCCTCCGGAGCACATCTTGACACTGACTATAGAGCAGCGAGAAACAATTTAGAACTGCGGGCAATATTGTCCTTTTTTTAATATGATATGCACAAAAATGCAAATAAATATGCTTGGATGCATATATTGGAACACCAAGCTATGCTGAGTGAGGTGGCTCATGGAAAGAGGTGATGCTAGGTGAATTAGCGAAGTTCATTGGACGTGTAATTTATAGAGGCATTATTCAAATCATGGTTCTTTATCTATATTGGAACACCTGGAGACTTATCACAAGAAAACAAAAATTCACTAAGGAAGTGTACGAGTACACATGTGCCTCATGAAAAATCATGCAATGCTTCACCGTATGGCATGAGCAACGAAGCAGCACCTCGGTTCTAATTTATTTGTCTATGTGAAGAGAAACATTTTGTACAACATTCATTAATTTTTTAACTCTGTTCCAGGTGCATTTATCTACAAAACGTATATTCTGAATTTTGTTTTGAATTTGTTTGCATATATATAGGGCTTTTTATTTCACTGTTTACCAGCTGGCAACCAGAAATTCCACACTTTTTACGTTTTTATTCATTATAAAATATTTTTGTTGCTCTACAACATATATTTTTGGGGAAGAGCATTTCATTGTGCAAAGTGTGGTATGATGCAATGCATGCTTGAGTACTTTTAAACTGGCAAAAGCGATCTTCCCGAGGCATATGAAAAACAACCATTTTCGCACGGTAACAAAAGAGTTAAGCAGCATGCACGGACAATACGTATATGTTTGTGATGCATGTAATAATGTTACATGCAATGCTTTTTATGAACTTTTCGCATGAATACAATTATGTTGATGGCAGCCTCCTCCACAGTGAATATTTTATCAGTGAATGAAATTTTTAATGACTAGAAACAGCCCACAAAGAATTCAGTTTTTAAATGTGACGCACTCCTTGAGAAACCAAAGGTATTTTGAGCATTTCTATCTACTTATTTTAGCTTCCCACCGAGCTCAAGTCTACTGCATTATTCGTCACCACTTTGCAAGCTGCCCCCATCGCTCCTAGTTGCCATAAGCAAGGTTGATTAGATTTATCGGAGATTAAAACGGAAAGCTTTTTTAGTGCTTCCTGTATGGCAAAACTAAAATATTTAAAAAGATTAGTCACAATCATGTGCTCACAGCAGCTTCAACAGAGCAGTGGTGTGGTAATCCTTTTTGACAAAAGAAAATGATTTTCCTGAAGCAGCAGATGCCTTAACCGGTCCATAAAAGTTTGTTCGTTCCCATCTATAACTGCATTGACCAGTCGCAACAGAATAAAAACATAAACAAATGATGTAATATATAGGGCCCTATTCAGCGCTAACCTCCTCTGCAGCGCTACTGCACAGGGCTGAAAGCGTCGCACAGAGCCTTTTAGGAATATTGTCACTGCTGAAATGTTCGAAAATTATCACTATATCATAACATTCCCTTATAATATGTTTTTCTCATAAATATATAATTGAGTGATTACAGTGATGTAGGAAAATTTTGCCTTAGAAGTTGTTTTCCCCAGTGTACAGCAGACAGTGACCACTGTCGAAAATGGGGGGGCTCAGCCCCGTAACTTTTCTCAGTGGGGAAACTTGCGTTCCTTCTCCCCCCCCCCCCCCTTGGCTGATACGCCTATGGTTGAAGCTTTATGTCATGTGCACTGCAAAAATTATGTCACGTCTCGCCGTGCTCACTCAGTGCCACAATTTCAAAAGGCCTTATTTTAAGTGATGCACCAATTTCAGGAGATACTCAATGTACTAAGTACAGCTGCTGTACATTTTTGATAAGTTGGCTGTATGGGAAACGAAACCGACTGACATTTGACTTGACGCAGTAAAGGTTATACCACGTGGTTGCAAAACTTTTCCTCCGTAATATCTATTGTTAGTTTTGACATATGCATGGCAATTTCGTTTGTATTTTACATATATTTTAATTGTTTGTTTGGCTTAGCATGTAGTCTCCTCTGGAGCTGTATTCTCACTATTGATTTCAGTGATGTACTTGTAATGCAATATAGCAACTTAGTAAGATATTTTTAATACTCATCAGCATGTTCTCTTGACTCGTCATTTGCACTGTATCTAGTTCATCTGTAAGTTCGCAGAAAAATCACATTAACTAGCAGGGATGTAGCTGCAGAGACTGTCTCAATATGTAGCTAACTTTATATGCATTTTTTTAGTGACATCAGATAGTGTCTACTCATTGCCCTGTGTGTACTATGAAACTCCCTATAGAACTTCTCGAATAATACACTTGCTGGTTGTGAATGTTTGACCATCATGTCTCACATCGAAGCTACTTTCATAGAATCGCATCACTGAGAATTCCTAAAGTATGTTTGTGTGTGCTTGTTTTTTAGTCAGCCACTAACTATAGATGCAGCAGTTGCTCATTTCATGATGCAGCTGTCAAAGCAGTAGTTGCTTAATGGGTTATTTGACCACGTCTGCATTGACTTGTGCAGTGTTTGCCTAAAATCTCTGAGCTGTGTGCACACCAGCTGTTCATTACAGTTTTATAGCTTTTGTTCCTCGATTTGTACACAGGACTTTTATGCATGTTTCATAAGTTATGCTTTCATGCCTGTCAATTTATGTTGACTGAAACCTTTCAGGGACATTTGCTAGTGTGGTGACAGCCCTTGTGCCTACCCACTTGCATAATTCACTCTAGCAGTTGAGGTGCAGCAAAAATAGTGTGTGCTTGGCCATTCCGAATCACGAGCCATGTCTTTGGAGCATTTATTTTATTGAATAACATCCAGTGCTGCGAGTAAAATATGGCTTGTCTGGGCTGTTTCTGACTCGCAGTACATGCTTTATTAACAATTATGCACTATACTATATTCTGTGCTCAACACAGCATACAGTATAAAGCCTAATTGTACGACATTCTTCTACTTTCTCAGTCTTTGCTTTAAGAGCATATGACGAGGAGCTAAGAAAATGCATTGCATGCTTCATTTTTTCTGTCAATGTAGGGCCTCTAGTTGTCATTTGCACTGGACAAGGGGCAGTGTTTATAGATTTGAATGCTTACAGTTCCCATGTTTGTATGTGTGAAAGCAGTGTTTATAGATTTGCCCCGCCACGGTGGTCTAGTGGCTAGGGTACTCGGCTGCTGACCCGCAGGTCTCTGAATCGAATCCCGGCTGCAGTGGCTGCATTTCCGATGGAGGCGGAAATGTTGTAGGCCTGTGTGCTCAGATTTGGGTCCATGTGAAAGAACCCCAGATGGTTGAAATTTCCGGAGCCCTCCACTACGGCGTCGCTCATAATCATACGGTGGTTTTGGGATGTTAACCCCGCATATCTATCAAGTGTTTGTAGATTTGAATGCTTACTTCCCATGTTTCTAAGTGTAAAAACCCGTGCCATGGGTTTTCAAAAGTTTGCTGTCAATCAACATTGCATTGTCCCAGTATTCTAAGTTAAACTTTAATGATAACCTAAAATAATCATTACCCAATAATATTGAGACCATATGGTGTAACTGGTGTGGTGGCTCAGTAGCATTGGTATTGCTCAGCATGAGGTTGTGGATGCAGTTCTCGTCATCGTGGCAACATCTGTACAGGGACAAAATGCAAAAACTTTTATGTACTATTTTGAATGTATGTTCAATAACTATGCAGGATTCTGATTCGGTGCTCACATTTGGTGTTTTATTCTCTGCCAATCAGTTTCATCCTCAACACTTGCTCACTGCTTATTTGCTGTATGCGTGGTTGTTAAAAATTTGAGAGGGAAATCTTGAGTAATATTTTGCTGATTAGACAGTGCCTATACCTTGATTTAAATTGAGCTAGGTGTACATTTTCAAATAAGTACAATTTATATGAAAAAGTCTAAACAGCATTGGATTGCATGATTTCACACTCCATTAAGTATGCTTTTTGCTGAGAATTTGCAGTTTTGTTGACAACATTGAATGGTTCCTATTGAAATGTATACTCATGTGCTAGATCCAAGAACATGAGTTCTGGGTGAGTTGAAATTTTATCTTCATAAATAAAAAGTATGGGTGTAGCATGGCTGCTGTACATGGCGATACATACCATGCATTCCTTTTTCAGGGAAAAAGGTTCAGCTTTTATGAAGCTTTGTCAATATTTGAGCTTCCTTGTCTTGAGCACATTTGCATTTAGTAGTGCCCTTGCCAACAGGAGATGGGAAGCCCCCGTATATTCATGTGATCATATCGGCCATGTATTTGGACCATCGTAAGCTTCTTGTGAGACAATCTTTAGTAGAAAGGCTACTTGTGTACATCGGGTTCCATTCTACATCATTCCAATCTACTTAAAAAGAATGAAAGCTACTTTATAATGAAAGCTACTTTCAGCTCTCAGCTTTCGAATCCGAATGTAAGTCGAAAGCTGAGAGGCAACATATAGGCAATTCGGGAGGTATGCAAATTTAAAATTTCATCAGAATTAACTGCTGTATATAATACTGAGGTGAAGTGGGTGAGCATATAGCTCTGAAGCACGAGCAGTACAGGTGACCTTGTTAATCACAATGTGGTTTTAATAATACCAGTGTAAATCTACATAGATTACTTTTCAATCTCTGATAGAGAGGCTGTAATAATTTTGCATTATAGAATTACTGGAAAAAAATTTTAAAATAAGAGTTCAATTAGGTTTCGTTTTTAGCACTCAATTTTAGTCTAGTTTAGTTCTTATTTGAAGAAATGAAAACCTATTAACATATGTAAACCCAGCTTACAGTACTGAACTGTTTAACTAACCAACTCTGTACAGTTTGTCTTTCACACATTGTACAGTGCTATTAAATACTTCAGAGCACTCGCTGGAACACTTCAAGGGTAAAAATGTCTGCACCAATAAGCTCACCAGGACTTGTATTTTGCGATTTTCTATTTACTTTGGTCCAATCATGTGCGAGTGGAAAAAAATGCCCTGTTGGCAGATTAGAAAGTTGATGTTTACTCCAAAATGTGGGGCAATTTATTTGTGTTCCTGTTAACCTAAGCATTTTTTGAAAACTGCTTAGTGTCCTAGGTTAACACTGTCAGGACAACCCATATTCCAGATTGGTGGGGGACTAATACTTTCAAATATTGACTCATCATTTCTGTTTAGCAAATATACCATCAGTAGTCATCAGTAACTGTATTGAAGTTTTAATTGGAGCATATCTTTGCCAGTTTAATTGGGATTTTTAGCTGCATAAGCTTTTCCGTTTGCAATGAATCTCTTTTCAATCCTTTAGTTCAACTGGCTAGATTGCATCAACTTTCATGAGCAATTCTAAAAATTACATGCATAAGCAGGAAGTTTGGTTATCTTGGTGCCCTCATGCAAAACCCTGCACACACCTATAGTGACAACTCTGAAGCTGGCACAAGCATTTAAACTACATTTCATTTACCCTTTCCATAAATGTACATGTGTTTTTTGTGTATATGCTAAGGCATTACTATTTTAATACATCTTCAAAAGTCTTTGTGGAGCTTCACACTTAGTTTTGTGGCCTCTGTGGTATAGTGTGATCAATGCGCCACATTTTCGCATTTATATCTATTGCAGCTGAAGACACAGTTCAACGATAGTGCCTTGGTTACTATTGAATATGTTCCTGAGGAATGCCAGAGTCCCCGAGGAAATGGTTACGATGTGGATGCACCCACTGTTAATGGCGGGAATTGTGGTGAGTGGATTTGGTTTTCACTTAATGTGGAAGCTTGTATGTTTTTTTACACTCCTAATAAATTACAGTTGTGCCAGAAGGTTTATTTCCAAATAATGCCATTGCTTTTTGCATATTTCCTCAGTCATCACAGTATTGGAGAAGCTTATGGGGTTCTCGCTACGCGAGTTGAAAAATAACTTAGAAAAAAAGATAGTGTGCATACAGGTCCTTGAAAACCCTTGAATTTGAAAAATGTATTTTCAATGCCATTAAAAGTCCTGGAATTTTTTCCTGTTTTTGAAAATCCTTGAATTTCCTGAGCACTTCCTATCGACATTGCGGCCTCCTTTATGTGGTAGATCAGCACACCTACCAAGTCTCCAGAATTTCGACCAGTTCTTATATTTGTACGGTTGTCAGGAAAATCGCCGAGAAATTGAAGTTTTTGTGCGTGATCTGACCGCATTGAAAAAAAAGCAGCCCAATCCAATCCAGGTTTTTGCGAATCCATTGCATTTCATTTTAAACGAATTTAGGAGGCATTCATCTAAATATCTATTGGGTCAAAATTAAGAGTTTCCGAACTCTTTAGTGCTGAAACTATAGAACAAAGACCAAGAGCAGCGTGCTCAAAGTTTCGAAAGGACGCGTGCCAGTGCATGCACTGTCAGAACTGCAGTTATCGTTTGCTACAACCGCTGTGGATGAAACAGCAGTCGCTCTTGACAGGATCATGTGTGGCAACGACGTAACTGACAGAACTCCAAAAGTGCACGGGCGTTCAGCGCTTTGCCAGTCAAAGAGAGAGAGAGAGAGAGAATAAACATTTATTAATAACAAATGCACACTGAGCCTTCTTTGGGTGGGGCCCTCAGTCCAGGGCTCCATTGCCTTGCGCGACCCTGCGAGCCCGCTGGACCAGCTGCTGCTGTTCCTGCCGGCGTAAGCTGAGCAGTGCAGACTCCCAAGAGGAAGGGGTGGGATTGGGAATGGGAGGCACGCCCTGTGGGGCAGAGCATTCCCACGTGGAGTGGTACACCGTCGGTACGGATCCACAGAAGGGGCAGTAGGAGGGGTAGAGAGTCAGATGAAAGCGATTTAGCATATAAAGGCAAGGAAATGAATTGGTCTGTAGTTGCCGCCAAGCGACAGCATCTGCTCTGTTAAGTGAAGGATGAGGGGGAGGATACGTATAACGGCTCTGTCGATAGTACTGCAGCGTAGCGTTGTAGTTTAGTGGTTCTGTCGATGCGTCGTCTGGATGTGGACAGCTCTTCCAATGGAGCCCGGCCGGTCAGCTCTCTGGCAACCGCATGAACGCGTTCATTACCATGGAGAGAGGCGTGTCCAGGAATCCAGACGATACGCACAGGACGTAATGCGGACGGTGAGACAGAAGAGAGGATATTGTGTGTATGTGCAGCCACAAGTCCTTGAGCGAAAGCACGGCAAGCAGCTTGTGAATCTGTTACAATAGTGACAGGGGAGTCATGTGACAGTGTCGTAGCGTAAACAATTGCCAGAGCGAGAGCTCCCTCCTCTGCCAGACCACTGTCTGTAGTGCGAAGTGTGGCAGACGCCACAAGGGCGTCTGTGTCATCTGTCACGGCTAAACACATGGCTGACTTCTCTGGGTAGCGTGCTGCATCAGTGTAAAGTACTTGTAAGTCTGATGTACCATCACCAAAGACGCGTGTCATAGCCTGAACTCGGGCACGTCGACGACCGGCGTGGCGGGAGGGATTCATATTGCGTGGAATCGGAGGCACTTTGATGAGTGCGCGGACAGTAGAAGCAAGTTTATATCGCGGTACTTGTGCGGGTTTTTGAGGAATCGGGTTGGCCAGTCAAAGAGACGTTGCTTTCCAGAAATGCTGCGGACAAAATTGTGGCTGGTGCAATCATAGATAGGCATCAGACTCTGGAGTTTTGCAGACATGTAGCCCCACCTGTTGATGCAGTTCTGGGTAGTGCAAAGCCAGACTCCCTTGCACAGTTTGCTACGCAAGCAGGTGCAACTAGTGCGGGTGAAATACCGATCAAGCTAAATATTGGGTGTCTTTGCACATTGAACATTCGGAAAAAGAGCTATGAATTTCTCTCCTCTTACCGGATGCGTCACCTAACCGCCATGGCGTGCTTGCTAGTTTACTCGCGAGAATGACTACGAAAACAAGAGCAGGCGCAACAGCTTCCGGCTCAACTATGAAAGACCTTTGTCAACGCTACTTTTGCATTGTGAACTGCCACGGATGTCAAAGACTAGTTTTACCGATTCCCGTAGCTTTCATGAAGCAGAATGCCGAGAGTGCTAGATATGGGCCATTGTGTAAGCGAATTACTCGCGTTCTACACAGGCGGTCAAAAGTGTGATGATGTAGATCTCGCGCTATTGTTTTGAGTAGGCTTGAGAGAGAACTGTGATAATTTTGATTTTGAAGCTCAACAGAGCCTTCGACCGGGGTGTGCACCACACAACAGTTGACTGGTGACCCGTGCGATAAACATTGCACATGCTGTGACCACCGATAATCGAAAGTGGTCGCCATTACACACGTAGGCTTTGAAGGCTCCAAGTTCTGGCTGGCTTTAACTAGCAAATGTGAACACAAACGTTATACAGGTAAATCACAAAATATTGCTCGTGACCACTATCGGGGTTTTCTTGCCGTTGGTCTCTGCGATTGCTGAAGCTATTTCAGAGGCCTCAGTTTTGCCTTTCGTTGTACACAGAAAAAGTGGACATGCATGTATTTGTGCATGCATACGTAATCTTTGTCTAGGATGTTGTAAGGCCCTGCCGCGGTGGTCTAGTGGCTAAGGTACTCGGCTGCTGACCCGCAGGTTGCGGGTTCAAATCCCGGCTGCAGCGGCTGCATTTCTGATGGAGGTGGAAATGTTGCAGGCCCGTGTGATCAGATTTGGGTGCACGTTAAAGAACCCCAGGTGATCGAAATTTCCGGAGCCCTCTACTACGGTGTCGCTTATAAGTATATGGTGGTTTGGGGACATCAAACCCCACATATCAATCAAATCAATCAATTCCCACTTGCAGCTTATACAAATGGAAGGCAACTGTCAACAGAACATTTTAGGATGCATATAATAAGAGTTCAACGCACAAGAGGTGACAGATGCATGCAGGATGCAACTGCAAGGGCGATAATCACCGGGGCCATTCCCGCCGGATTACGCGAGCTTTGCACCACTGATCATACGATACATTGCTCATGTATCCACTTCATCAGCTTAACATGATGTCGATGCCCAAATTTATCGTATAAAGGTGTTACAGAACGTACGTTGGAGTGCTTGCCCTGAATGGAGGCGGAAGTGTTGTTGGCCCGTGTGCTCAGATTCGGGTGCACGTTAAAGAACCCCAGGTGGTCAAAATTTCCGGAGCCCTCCACTACGGCGTCTCTCATAATCATATGGTGGTTTTGGGACGTTAAACCCCACATATCATCATCAGTGCTTGCCCTGAACTCGGTGACATGCGATGCTCGCTTGGGCCTAAATTGTGAGTTGCAGCTCGTCGACATAAGTGAAGCATCTTTCGCATTGTACCCACAGCTTGCTTTGATGAGCTTCTTATTTTTCTGAAGCGAGGTCATTTTGATGGGAGCAGCTTGCAAGGTCCTTGATTTTCAGGAAACCACGAACACCAACGAAAGAGAAAGGCCTATGCACTAGCCATTGCTCTTTGCACTAGCCAGTTATGGCCAGCGAGGCGATGAGGGCACTGGTGGCGGCGTTTTTCGCAGTGCCTCCTGGGCAGAGTCCGACATGTATAGCAAAAAAAACAACAACAAACAAACAAAGCATGGCTTTGAAGGGGCGTGTGAAACCGCGGTTGCGGCAACGCGATTACTCTCTGTGGGCGCGCGGCTGACGCAGCGGTAGAGGCAATAAAAGAGAGTTGCTCATTCACACTTGAGAAGTGAAGCCAAAATGAAATTGCCAGAGCGGCCAGAACATCATGACTGCGCGCATCGAGAATGTTCACATTTGTTTTGCCCCTGATGCTGTCGCAACCTTGAAAATTAAGTCGATTTTGTCTGCTTTCTGAGCACTAAATTTTGTACTGAATTCAGATTATTTACAGAAAGTACTGAAAAGAAAGAGCTCCCACCTGTTCAAACAATGTTTCAGGAGATACACGAGCAGAAACTACACGAGCGAATGCACAGGCGGCGGCGAATTCAACTAACTTTACACAAAAGCGAGACATTTTGGGGATGCGGACTTGCTGTTGCTGCAGTATTATTCCAGAGTTCTGGGCGATCGTAATCCAAACAAAGCTCTCAATGAGCGCGTCCTCGTTGAGGCCATGTAGCTTCGTCGTGCTGCACAGGTAGTTTTCAATTTGAGCCGATGCGAGCCACCGCTGAGACCTTTGCCGCCATGTGGAATCTGCGGCCGGCGGTTAGGTCATGTGGTTTGATCTAGCACAGCCAAAGCCATGGAGCGGAAACCAGATCCACTTGCGTGTGGTGGGAAAATCGGTCTTGGACCAATTCTTGTGCGCCGGCTGCACGGCGTGGTTTTCCGGCCGCTTGGGCTGCGAAACGAGTCAGTTTCCGGAGCGTTTTGCCGCCTTCGCTCGCTTTGAGGCCAAGTGTGAACACGCATAGAACAGCGTACCGCAAGCCCTTGCATTGCGGTTGCTGCCACTGCGCATACGTCGTAACACGAGCTGCGATTCACGCTTGCGGCCCGCCCGCAAGAAATCCGAAATAGCACACCGCAAGCATTGACCGCACCGGTGCGCTATGTTGGAACTCCCTATTCTAAAACTTCCTAAAGATGTAAAAAAAAACGCTAAAAGTGATTTGGCTTTCCTGTCGATCTGGGTACCTTGGCTATACTTCGGCATTAAAATTTTAGTTGGTCTTAAGCGAAGCTTCGACCCGCGCTTGCCCGGCAACCGGCTTCGTCGTCCTATCCATTCATTTGTTTCCCAGGGAGACACATGTGTTCTTTTGACAAATAGATTTTGCTAGTGGTTTCGATGACGG